GTGCCTGCAGACTCGAGTGGCTTTCCGGGGCTCTGACGAGAGTGAGTGACCGAGGCCGGGTGCTGGATGGGTGCTGGATGGGTGCTGGGGTCCCTTCCCTGGCCCACCGGTGGCTGCAAGGGGCCATGCCTGCTCTGTGCCTCAGTTTCCCCCGTTGGGGGTCTGGAGCACCCCGGGGGGGGTTGCGTGGGGTCTGGTGTGGCCCTGACGTCCCTCCCCCCCGTCTCCCCCAGTTTTCTGCCGCGTGTACATGCCCGACCACTCGTACGTCACCATCCGCAGCCGCCTCTCGGCCTCGGTGCAGGACATCCTGGCCTCCGTCACCGAGAAGCTGCAGTACTCGGAGGAGCAGAGCGCCCGCGAGGACGCCCTCATCCTCGTCACCATGGCCTCGTCCGGAGGTGCCCGTGGGGCAGGGGGGGTGGGGGGTTTGTTGGGCAGGTTCGGGGGTCCGGCTGGCGCTGACCCCCCGCCTGCGCTCTGCCCGCAGAGAAAGTGGTGCTGCAGCCCAGCGAGGAGTGTGTCTTCACCACCCTGGGCATCAACAGCCACCTCTTCGCCTGCACCAGGGACACCTTTGACTCCCTGGTGAGCACCGCGCCGCGCCGGGGACACCCACACCCCTCCCCAAAACCTGCCCAGCCGCAGAGCCGCAGCGACCCCCTGGGCAGCAGAGCGGGGGGACCCTTCTGCGGCCCCCCAGCCCCCTCCGAGCGTCCCCATGTCCCCTCGTAGGTGCCGCTGCCCGAGGAGATCCAGGTGGTCCCGGGGGACACGGAGATCCATCGCGCGGAGCCGGAGGAGATCGCCAACCACCTCACCGCCTTCCACTGGGAGCTCTTCCGCTGCATCCACGAGGTGGGGGGGGGGGGGGGTGGAGAGGAGGCTGGGGGGGGGCCTGCCCCATGGCGGGGTGACCCTGATGATGATGTGTGTGTGTGGGGGTGTGTCCCTCGCCCCCGGCAGCTGGAGTTCGTGGATTACGTGTTCCACGGGGAGCGGGGCCGGCGGGAAACGGCCAACCTGGAGCTGCTGCTGCAGCGGTGCAGCGAGGTGCAGCACTGGGTGGGCACCGAGCTGCTGCTCTGCGAGTCGCTGGGCAAGCGCGCCCACCTCCTCAAGAAGCTCATCAAGATCGCCGCCATGTGAGTGCAGGGGTGGGGGGGGGTGGGGGGGGGTGTGTGTGTTGGTGAGGGGGGGAACCCCCCTGCCCACCCCCCACCCTCTGTCCTTTCCCCCTCCCCTAAAAAAGATGCAAGCAGAACCAGGACATGCTCTCCTTCTACGCCATCGTCATCGGGCTCAACAACGCCGCCATCAGCCGCCTGCGCCTCACCTGGGAGGTAAAGGGGCCGTGGGGTGTCCTGGACCCCCCCCCCAAGGTGCTCCTGGGCCCCCCTCAGATGCTCATGGCACCCCCCCCCCCCCCCCGGGGTTCTTTTGCAGAAGCTTCCAGGGAAATTCAAGAACCTGTTTCGGAAGTTCGAGAACCTGACGGTGAGAGGTGCCTGGGCACCCCGTGGGTGTTGGGGGGACCCCCCGGGCACCCCATGGGGTGTTTGGGGAGCTGATGGGCAGGAAACATCTTGGGGTGCCCTCACCCCCACCCAGGCCCCCAGTGATGGCCACAGCCCTGTGCCCACGGCACGCAGTGTGTGTGGGGGTCTAGGGTGGGCTGGTCAGGGTGCTGGCACCCATGGGGAGCCTCCCCCCAACTCTGACCCCCTCCCCCCCCCCAATACCCCCCCCAGGACCCCTGCAGGAACCACAAAACCTACCGGGAGGTGCTGGCCAAGATGAAACCCCCCCTCATCCCCTTTGTGCCGCTCATCCTCAAAGGTGAGGGGGGCACGGGGGCTGCCCGCACCCCATGCGGGCTGGGGTTCTGCTGCTGCCCCACAGGGTGCCCCCCCTCACCCCCTGTTTTCTGCCCGCCCCCCCAGATCTGACCTTCCTGCACGAAGGCAGCAAGACCCTCCTGGACGGGCTGGTCAACGTGGAGAAGCTGGTGGGTGCCCCTCGCTGAGGGGGATGTGGCTGAGGGACCCCCGGGATGAAGCCAGGGAAGGGGGGAGCCCACTGAGGGGCTGGGGGCATCCCCACCCTGCAGTGGGGTGGGGGGTCCTGGGGAGGGGGGGTGCAGGGTCCCTGGGGTGCAGAATAGGATACTCGGGGCTGTGGGGGGGGTGGTCCCTGGTGGTGAGTGTGCCCCAGGGTCCCAGAGGGGGGACAGTCCCAGGGTCCTGGGGGGGTCAAGTGGTCCCTGGGGGGCTGAGGGCTGACGGGGGGGGTGCTCTCTGCCCCAGCACTGCATCGCCGAGAAAGTGAGGACCATCCGGAAGTACCGGAGCCGCCCGCTCTGTGAGTACAGCGGGGGGGGGGGGCTGGGACCCCCATGGCCGGGCAGGGGCGAGGGGGCAGCGCTGTGGGGAGGGGGCTGAGCCTGTGGGGCAGAGGGGACCTGCATGGCCCTGCCCCCCCCCCTCCCGGTGCTGCCCCGAGGGACGGGGCTGTGTCCGGTACCTGCATCCCTACATCCTCATCCCTACCTCTTCATCCTCATCCCTGCAGCCCTACATCCTCATCCCTGCATCCCTACAGCTTCGTGCCTACAGCCCTTCATCTCCCCATCCCTACCTCTTCATCTTCATCCCTGCATCCTTTCATCCCCTCATCCCCATCCCAGCATCCCTACATTTTCATCCTCATCCCTGCATCCCCTTATCTTCAGCCCTGCATCCTTTCATCCCTACATCATCATCCCCTCATCCCCATCCCAGCATCCCTACATCTTCATCTCCATCCCTGCATCCTTCCATCCCTGCATCCTTCCATCCCTGCATCCTTCCATCCCTGCATCCTTCCATCCCTGCATCCTTCCATCCCTACATCATCATCCCCTCATCCCCATCCCTACATCTTCATCTCCATCCCTGCATCCTTCCATCCCTGCATCCTTCCATCCCTACATCATCCCCTCATCCCCATCCCAGCATCCCTACATCTTCATTTCCATCCCTACATCTCCATCCCTGCATCCTTCCATCCTTGCATCCCCTCATCTTCATCCCTACATCTTCATCCCTTGTATCCTTTCACCCCTGCATCCCTATATCTTCATCCCCTCATCCCCACATCCCTTCATCCCCCCTTGCCCTCATCCTCCCCTCCCGGGGGCCGGGGTGCCCCTGCCCACCCCCAGCACTGATCGCCCCCCCAGGCTTGGAGCTGGAGGCCTCCCCCAGCCAGCTGCAGACCAAGGCCTACGTGCGGCAGCTGCGGGTCATCGACAACCAGAACCTGCTCTTTGAGCTCTCCTACAAGCTGGAGCCCGGCAGCCAGTGAGGGCCAGGGGGGGCCCCCACCCCGGGGACCCCCCGCCCCGCCCGGGGGGGGCCTGGCCCCCCCCCCCAGCACTGACGCACTTTGGCCAGGGGCCCCGGCTGGGCGCTGCCCCCCCCCGCCCTTGGCACCGGGGGAGGACGGGTTTGAGGACCCCGGGTGCATCCCCCCCCCCCCTCCATTTCCCCCTCGCACCCCACTGCCCCCCCCCCCGCCCCTCCCGCTGGCTGGGGTGCAGGGACCCCCCCGGGGACCCATCCCCCACCCCTGGGCCCCCCTCTATTTTTGTACATGCTCCCCTGTCTGCCCCTGTCCCCCCCCCCAACCCTCCCCCCAGACGTGTATATTTTGTACCGAACCGTCGTCCGGAATTGTACATTTATTTTTTAAGAAAAAGGAGGAAAAAAGGGAAGAAAAAAAAAAAAAAAAAAAAAAAAAGCCCGGGGGGGCGTGGGGGGCGCGGAGCCCCAATAAAAGGCTGTCCCGGCGCCCGGTCTCCTGATGTCATGCTGGGGAGGGATGTCGCGACCGTGAGGTCACACCGTGGGCGAGGTCACGCCGGGAGCAGCGTGGGGCGGAGGTCACGGGGGCTGCCCCCCGTCCCGCGGGGGCACGGCGGGGACTCGAACCCGCGACCTTCCCAAGGTGGCGGCAGGGGGCGGTGTGACCTTCCCAACATGGCGGCCGACAGCGTTCAGTCCGACCTTCCCAAGGTGGCGGGCGCCGCGGCGGCAGCCGGGCCGCGGCCCCCCCACCCACCCCTCCCAGACCGCAGGGGCGACTCTACCCGGAGCAGAGAATCAATCTCAGGCAGCGCCGCGCTCCCCTCGCCCCTCCGGATGGCTGCAGAGACAGACGGCTCCACCGCGCGGGTGCCCTTCCCAAGATGGCGGCCCAGGAGCCCAACGCAGCCCCTCGCCAACAATCGCCCTTCCCACCATGGCTGCCTGACCTCCCCAGCATGGCGCCGCGGCCCGGTCGTTCCCCCGCCTCGCCCCGCCCGCATCCGGGCCGAGGCGGCGCAGGCGCAGGAGGGGCGGCCGTCGCCATTTTGTTTGGCGGCGGCGGCTGGAGGCCGGACGGCGCCGCGGGGCCGCGTTTCCGGGTGCGGCGGGAGGAGGCGGCGGGTGAGCGGGGGGGGGCACCGGGCCGGGGGGACCACGGGGTGGGGGGGGGTGTGGGGTGCTGAAGGGGGCTGCGAGGAGCCCGGTGGCCGGCGGGTCGAAGGGGCTGGGGTCTGTGTGGGCCTTGTTTTGGGGAAGGGGGGGGGGGGGGGGGGGGGGGCGCGCTCTGGGCCCTTTCGGGGTACAGAAGGGTGGAGGGTGGGTGGGTGGGTGCTGTGGGGGGGTGGCCGTGGGTGCGCTGGGCTCTGCGGGTTGAGGGAGTTTTCCCAGGGGGACAGACGTGCTGGTGGGAAGCGGTGGTGGCGGTGGGGGGGAGCTTCTGGCGGGAGCTTCCCCCCCCCCCCCCGCTTCTCCCCGTGTCACGAGAAGGTGCCCATCGCGTTTTGCCCTTCTCCCCCCTCCAACAGAGCTCCCTGGGGCGGGGGGAGCAGGGAGGAGGGCTCCGGGTCTGTGTACGGGGGGGGGGGACATTTGGGTTGTGTTGCCCCGGGCGGGGACACACACACGACACACGCACGATGTTCCCGGGGTCAGGCCGGGTGTCCCCAAGCAGCGTCCCGGCCCAGCGCTGGCACCCCGCGGCCTACGGATCGCCAGGCACGGGGGCAGCGGATGGCCGGGCAGGGCCGTGCTGCGGCTGCCACGGTGGAGGCTGAGCTCTCCCTCCTGCGCCCGGTAAACACAGCCGCGGCTGCGTGCTCCGGGTCCACGGGCCCTCCCCTCCCACGCAGCCGTACGGCAGCGCCCGCCCTGCCCAACGCTTCCCCCGGCAGCGCCCCGGCCTTGAGGACCGAAAGCCTTGCTGCGGGTTTAACGCTCCAGACCCCTCCAAAGCCCTGGCTGTAAGCGAATAAAATTAAGTGGCTGCTTGTTTTCTGCGTGTCCTTTGGGACGGGGAGAGCGGCAGCGCTGTGGCACACGCAGCCGCGGGCTTTCCCCTCGCGAAGACTCAGCAGAATCGATGCGGCTCGCGCCCGCCCTGGCTCTCTGTTCGCAGGGTTCCCCGTGGGCCTCGATGCCCTCGGGAGGGATGTGGATGGGTTCAGGCTGAGGGGTACGTGTGCTGCACGGGGACGAGCCCAGCTGGCGGGCTGTGCCCGTGGGCTGGTGCGCCTGGACACCGAGCTGTCCCTCCTCGGGGTTCTGCTCCTGTCGAGTGGGTGTTTGTTTTGGTGTTTGCCCTGTTTTGGAGGAGCTGTGGCGAGCCCAGGCCTGGGGGAGGCAGCGGCCAGGGTGGGTTTGGGCCCCAGCAAGCCCAGCACTGCACAGCGTCTTCTGAAACAACAATTCTCCAAGCACTGCTCAGAGGTAGATTTTTGGGGGGGATTTACCTTGAGTCCCCACTGCTGTTAACCACGGCTCTGCTTCAGCTACCCCCCTGTGGTGAGTGTCGGGGGGGGCCCAGGCTGTGTGTCCCCCCCCGCAACTCTTTGGACTGGGGCAACGTTTCCAGAGCCCGTGGGGTGGGATGCAGAGGGAGGTGATGCCGGCTGCCTCCTGACTCTCAGCTGATGGGCAGATCTGGGGCCCTGAATGCCTCGTGACTGCCCTGCTCTGGGCTCCCCCACCCTGCCGTCCAGGCGTAACGTGGGCTGGGGGCCGCTGCCCACCGCGGCCGGCGGGAAGGCGGCAGCAAGGAGCCGGTGCAGCAGCGTCCTCGAGCCAGGCGGAGGCAGAGGTTTTGCATGAAAGTCATTTCCATGAACTGCAGCCTGTGCGCTGGGCTGAGCAGGAGCCCTTGGAGACGTGCCGCAATCCCAAATCGGCCTCATTTTACCTTTGGCAGACTTGGCTGCGGATGGGTGTCCGCCCGGGTTGCTCTGGCCTGGCCTGATCTCTGGCGTGGAGTGTCGCTGCCCCGCTGATGGTTGCCAGAGAGGATCTAATCTGACCTGACGCCCGTCTCCGCTGCGGAAGGAGTTGGCTTGGTTTGCAGATGAGGTGTGAATCCACCCGGCTCCGTCTTGGACTTGCTCTCCAGGGCAAAGCTACCTGGCGAGCGCGACTTCTGCTTTTCACATTACTGCCTGTCTCGGCTTATGGAGCGTGTGGTGCCCCCCAAGGTGTTTTGACATCGCTGCTTTGGCCGAGCCCCCCGTGGGGAGACATCCCCTCTTTGCACCTCGCGTGACGGCAGCCGGGCTCCCCGCCGGTGGGGGCTGCCAGGCGGCGGCACGGCAGCTCTCGCAGCCGTGCTGTGTTGCTGGAATGCAAAGGCAGAGCCTGTTTTCCCATGGCTGCTCCAGGGCCGGGAGCACAGACCCCTCTTTGTGCCGTGAGGGGTGAGGGAGGGCTTGGCTTCGTCCCGCCGTGAGCAAACGGGAACTGTCGGCCGCGGCGTGCCAAGCCGGTGCCAGCTGGAGCGTGTGTCGTGCCCGGCGCTGAGACATGAGCGTGGCGCGGAGGGGAGCGTGGCTGACCGGTGCCACCTTTACCACCGCTGCCTCCTTTCCCAGTGAGTTGGGTCTGTTTGAGTTAGTTTCTGGTGCTAAAAGTAGGGCTGCAGTTCCGCTCTGTGGCAGGCCGGCTGGTGCAGACGTGCGAGGCTGCAAAGCTTTTGGCTGCTGTGGCCTCAGGGTATTAGACCCTGACGCAAAAGTCGCCGTGTAGAGTGCCACTCTGCTGCTGTTGGATTTTCTGCTCTTGCTGAACGTGTTACCTCTGAGGTGAGGCATGCCGGCTCCCCTTCTCCATCAGCGTCAAGGTGACGGGACATGTTCCAGGTCAGGGCTGGCTTCCCGCTTTGCTTTAAAGTGCTGTTGTCGAGGCGCTCTGGTCCTCGTCTGACCTACTTACTTACATCTGGCTGCTTGGAAGGAAGGCAGATTTGCTCTGCCAAAGAAGTAGCTTTCTGCTGGGAAGCAAAGGTGGGAGGAGGGAGCGAGGGGAAAGTGCCCTCCTAATGAGGGGCTGAGCGTGTTGGGTTTCTCCTGCTGGCTTTGCCAGGGCAGCTCTGGAATGAGCGCAGCTCCAAGGGCTTGCTCCTCGCTCTGATGTTACAAGGTTGGTTCAAAAATTAAATAGTCTCTTCCAGAGCTGAGCCGGCTTTTTCATCACCAGCCTTGGGGGAGGCTGTGGTACTGGGAGCCGAAACCTGCCGCAGGGTCCCTTTACAGCACTGTGGAGCTCCGTGCCTCGGCGTAGTGCTGGGGCTCGGGTGCCTCTCTGCTTCCTTTGGCCCATCCCCATTCCCCTTCCTTCCTCTGGTGTCTCCCATGTGCAATACCGTAACCGTAGGAGTTCCTGCTGCTCAGCAGGACTGGCTGCACCAGCTGGAGCCGCGGCAGCCCCGGTTCCCTGGGCGCAGACTCTGCCTCTGGCAGCCCTGAGGTGGAGGCAGCTCCGGAGGGATGCTCGTGGGGAAAGGGGAGAAGCTGCCGGGTGGGTGCGGAGGTTTGCAGGGAGCTCCACTTTTCCCTTTCCAGCGGGAGCAGGTGAGGGGAGTTGCAAATGCAGGTTGGCAGGGCTTGCTCGCAGCGTGGCCCCTGGGCAGTCTGGGCTGTGGGGAGACGTGGGTGTCGTGCTGGGATTCGGTGCTGCTGCGCTCGAGTGTCCTTGTCGGGTCTGACCTGCTGCCGCAGCGATGCACGCCGCGCTTGCTCGCGCCCGGGGCCCGTCACTGCTTTCGCCGAAGCAGCCAGGCGCCTTCCCTGCGTGCACGGCAGTGTTTCCTCCTGGAAGCGTGGGGCTTTAAATCTTCCCCCACCTGGGTTGGAGTCTGGTTTGGGGGTGTTGGTGACTTTGCCCTGGAGCTGGGAGTGACAGGGCTGTGTCTGCAAGGACCGTCCGACCCCACCTCTGAGCGTCTCAGTCTGTCACACCCCATTACTAGATCATGTCTCAAAGCGAGCCCTCCTCTCCCTCTGCGCCCGCTGTAAATTTGCAGCATGTTCTTGGCACCTACCGACCTGAAAAGCAGCCGAGTGTGGATCCGGCTGTGCGGAGAACTCGCTCTGACGGGGCTTGGCTCAGTTTCCCCTTGGCATTGGCACAGGCGCTCCCTTCGTGCTCTTACACCTCCCGCAGCTGCGGCTGTCGCCGGGCCGTCACCACCTTCAGCCTCCTGCCCCAGCAAGGGCTCTGCTCTCCGTGAGCCGTCCTATCGATCCTGCGGGATGGATCAGCCCCGTTTGTGAGGTTTCTGTAGCTTTAGGGTCTTGCACAAACGTTAAGTGTATACGGGTATCCCAAAATAACACTTAAGTGCTGGGGATTCTATGGTAGCTTGTAAATTTTCTCCTAACGACTCTGACTGCAAAGCTGGTTAGAGGAAAGATGCATTTCTTTAGCCAATTAAATTTTTTAGAAGCAGTCAACGCGAATGGCTGCTTCCTTTCTGTGGGGCTGTTGTGGCTTCAGGGTGGTTTGGGGTGACTTTATTCTGCAGCAGGGACTGCGCCCTTCCATCAGGCACCTCCTGACAGCACCCAGCGACTTGCACTCTGCCTCGGTTACTTGCCTTGTGTATTCTGGATTGCGAACGGGCACATCCCTGCTTGGCCTTTGCCTAGGAAAACCCTGAGAATACTTGGCCAGCTTTTGTGGAACAGCAGGAGACCTCGTGCTCCAGCCCGGCTCTGCTTGTCTCCTTCAGGGCTCCTTCCCGCAGCCGGCTCGGAGCAGCTCTTGCAAAAGAGTCGGCACGGGAGGCTGGCGAGCAGGCAGAGCTCCAGCGCTGCTGGCCTGCAGGAGAGGGGTGGCAAAAGGGACCAGAGCTGGAGCTCTCTGGCCTCAGCCCTCCCCGAAAGCCCCATCAGCAGAGGGAGAGGGAGGGAGCGTCAGGGATGCCTGGCAGGAGGTGGGAGAGACCCGGGAAGGGGGATTGTCCCTCCTGGAGGCTCCGGGTCGGGGCTGGGGAGACCATCCCAGCCCTGGTGCTGCCCTGCTGAGCGAAGGGGCTGAAGGACCGCGAGCGGGCAGTCGCTGCAGGGGCACAGCGGAGTCTCAGGAGTGGTTAAGCCGAGTGTTTAAAAACAGGCGGAGGCTGGTACAGGGGTTTAAGCTGGAGCTGGTCCTGCGGTACTTTAAAGGTGCAGTTATTCTCCATTCAGGCTCCTGAGAGCAGCAGACCCTCCAGGCAGCATGTGTGTTTAGCTCATGGGGTTTCACTGGGATTTTTTTGTCACGGTTGTAACTGAACTCTCCGGGTGGGGGTTATGGGGGGACCGGGCAGACCACTGACTTTTCTCCTACAACACCAGCGCAGTCCATTTGGTGTTGTGGCACAGTGACCTCTTGCAGAGACGCTGCCTGTTGGGCCCGTGTGCTGGGGCAGGGCTGCAGCTCCCGGGGGGTAGAGGAGGAAGACCCAGAAATGTCAGACCTTCAGCGCTGGCCTGGCATGATTTCTGCCGGGAGGGTGGGTCAGCTTGTTGCCAACCGCTCCGATGTTGGGGTGAGTCTGGGAGAAAAGCTTGGCACAGGGCTTTGGTTTGAAAGTGTGGCCTTCAGCGGGGGCCAACTCCAATTAATGTGCTTTTTTTTTTTGGCAGAGATTTGCACCTGGGCATTTTGCTGTCCCTGCCTCATGACTCAGACCTGTGTCCGCAGACGCTGCGGCAGCGGACGGCGTCAACTCAGGGTGGCAGGCTGGAGCTGGAGACTGGTTGCCTGCTCCCGTGTTAAGGCCGCCGGTGCTGTGAGCTCTGTGCTGTGGAGTGTCTGGTGCTGTTTTATAGAGGACTTTGCGTGCTGTCGGTTTTGAGTGACGGTCGGAAGAGCTTGCAGGTTCATTCGGTGTTCGTTGCTCTTTGCTGGTAGCGTGTCAGCCGCAGCCTGGCAGAAACCAAAGACTGACGCTGCGCTGGGTTGGCCATGCAGAGCCTTAGATGCGGCTCGTCAGCCCCTGCCTCTAAACAAGCGCGGTGTGAGCGGGCCCTGGCACTTCTGGGAGGCTTTAAAAGGCTCTCGGGGGTGGCTGGAGCCCTTCTCTTCTCCCTGTTTGAGGCTCCCAGAATTTTCCTTGCTCGCCTTGCACCTCGAGGAGTTCCCAGCTCTGTCGGCTCCAGCGTGCAGGCTTTGATTACTCTAAATGTGCAGAGCCCTCCGCGAAGGGGACGGTGCATCGTTGGCAGTTGATAAAAAGGCGTTTCTATCTGAACACTAACACCACTGGGCTCTGGAGCCGCTTTCCATCCAGCGGCGTATTGTTCTCTGCGAGGCGTGGGCCGGGCAGCACGTTATTCCCAGCCCTGGGTCACCGTCAAAGCAGCCGGGAAGTCCCTGTGTCTCCCGCTGCTTCCTCCCGCTGGAACAATCGGAGATGTCTGTCGGAGAGAGCGGTGGTTCAGAGCGGTTCCTGCCCGGTCCCCTCGTGTGCCACCTCTCCCTCCCCGGTTTCCTTTCCCTTCTCGCCTGGCACATGGGATGGGGAGAGGCAGGGAAGTCTGCTGGCCCTCCTGGGACGGGCTTTTCCTGCTCTTCGCTTTGCTGCAGCCTAATGTCAGGACACGATTCCTCGTTACTGATTAAAGGTTTCCTCTGCCAAATGATCCGAGCTGAGCTCGGTGGAAAACTGCTAAAGGACGGCCTGACTCGGGGGTCCCGTGGTCGGGGAAGCCGAGGCTCCACCGAGGGCTGTGGAATTCAGCCCGGAGGCGTTAGAAACTTTTGTGTTCAGGGTTTTGTTAAAAATGCATTGTCAGTGACCGTGGGTTGTTAATAATTCACTGTCTGAGTCCCGCGGGGCTGGAGTGTGTCTGTCTGTCTGCACGCAGAGATGCACCAGCTCTTTGAGACGCTCCAAATCGAGATGGCAGCTCGCTCTCTTAAAGCATGCTGATATGATTTTAAAAGCCTGAATGACCTTAAATCCTGCGATGGCTGTGTTTCAGGATAAATTATTTATGTCGCACCTTCAGTGCTGCCGAAGCCCTCGCTTCTCAGGAACAGGCAGAAATGTCAGGTTTTGGAGGACAGGCCCTGAATTTGGAAGGGCTGCACTCAGGGTAAAGAGGAACTGAGGGTTTGGATGGGAAGAGGTGGAAGATAAAGGCGCCCTGCGAGGCGGAGGCGGGAGCGAGGGAGGGTGTTTGAGAGGTCCAGCCTTGGAAGTCGTCCCCAAACCGGTGCAGCCGCATTCTGCAGCCGACATCAGAGGGCTGGAAATTCCTCTTGATCTGCAGTTCAAAGCCGCTGCCTCCCTGAGGATGAAGCGCTTCATCTCGGGTCTGCAAATGCAGGCTCACAGCGGCAGCGAGCGTAGCTGTGAAATACAAATCTGCCACAGCACCCAAATCCCCCTGAAAAGCGAGGAAACGCGCTTACGGCATCTGAAGGTCACTGCTGCCTCTCCTGCTAAAAAAGCAACACCCCCCCCCCCAAGGGATGAGCAGAATCCAGGGCTGCTTGCTGGAGAAGGCACTTGCTTTCCCTTCATGGCAAATGGGGACTTTAAAAATGCCTGAAAAACGTGGTGTGTAGTCCTGTCCAGACCATATCTGGCTAATTCGACTGTTTTACAGCAGAGGGGGACTGCTGACTGTAACGTTCTTGGGTTTTAATAGTGTTTTGAACCCCTGGTTGGCAAGGGAGTGCCGATTCGGAATGCTGCAGGACTGCCCTGCAGTCGGTGCTCCGTGGGGTGAGGGGTGCTGCGGTGATGGGGGGGTCCAGCGTGGCTGCTGAGCATCAGCTCTAGAAGCAGCTTTCTGCAGGGTCACCTCTATTTCAGCAAGCTCTGTCTCCTTCCGAAGTGATAGCTTTTCACACGTTGCCTTCCTCCTGGTTTTCTCACAGCTTTCTTGGGTTTTGTTTTTTAGTTTAAAAGGAAAGCTAACGTGCAAACCTGCCCCTCCTGGCTTAATCGAAGACGAGCTTTCCTCTGTGCTTTGATCTAGCGGGTGTCTCTCTCACTGCCCTGATTCAGGTCTTTCAAACCACTTTCCCTGCAAGCGCAGTGAGCTGCCGCCGCGGCATATGGAGCTCTCAAAGGCTCAGATCTGCCTTGGTGAAAGGATCCCTGGTAACGAAGAACAAAGGAGAAGAAATGCAGAGAAGTCGGCTGTCGGAGCAGCATTGTTTCAAAGGGCATGGTTTCCGTAAGGCATACGCCAGACATTAAGGGGTGGTAAGCAGTGCTGGGAGAACTCCCCCCCCCCCCCCCTTTTTTTTTTTTTTCCTGGAGGATTTAGCTTGTGTCTCCCTGATCTTTATCAGCTGTGTCTGTCTTCGTGAACATTAAAGATCTAGGCTTTAAAATAAAGACAGACATGGATCACTCCAGCGTTCCCACCCAGAGGTCTTGGCTTTTCTCATGGTATGAAATAATCAGCAGCCGCCATGTGCCGAGTTCGGTGTCTCTTGATTTTGGTTTTTCAATGTGACCTTTGCTAATCCACAACCTGAACGGGGCCGTGTGCTGAAACGAAATGACCTGTTTCTTGGGAATTCAGCTCCAGTTTATCCTCAAGCTGCTTGAGCTTAAACTCTTCTCTCCCCTCCTCTCACTCTTCTAGGTCAGAGCCTTTATCTGAATGCGAGTTTCGGTGCAGCGCTAGTTTTAAGGGCATGTTAGATATGGGGAGATAATGACTCATGGTTTTCTTTGTAGAAATACCCTTCTCCTCCCTGGCTGTCCTTACAGGAGGGACTGTCGCTGTGGGATTGTCCCCAGCTGCTCTACCTGACACAGGACTTACGTGGGGGGAAGCAGGGCAAAGGGGGGGGACCCGAGCGGCGTGCTTCCCTTGCAGACGTGGCACTGACTTGCCTTCTAACAGCCGACAAACCCCTGTCCGTCCGTCTGCGTGCAGCGAGGCGGTGTGTCCCTGGCACGGGAGTCTCTGAAAGGAAAATCCTGTGACCCCAAGTGCTGCCGAGGTGCAGAGCTGGGTGGGAAGCGTCACCCTGTGAGTAACCAGCTGGAGCAGGAGCGTAACAGGGAGGTGATGTGGGTGTTTCTGTTCCCGTGGGTCGGGAGCGGAGGTGACGGCCTGCAGCGCTGGCACCGCTCCTGTGCTGGCTCAGGCCAGTGACACATGAGACCAAGTCAGGAGTCTCATTACCTGGCACGTTTCTCAGCAGTATCTCTGCTAATTACCTCCAGCTGCTGGTGTTCAAACAAGGCCGGGGCTCTCCTGCCAGTTGTGTCGTGACGCTGTCACGCCATCCCCGCGACGTCACGCTCTGCCGGCCCTGCTGTCCCGTTGCGGGGTGGGAAGGAGCAACGGGGGAAAAAACGCTCCTGTTGGAACATGTCCTGGCAGCGCCGGCAGGTCCCAGACAAGCACATTATGAGCTGTCTCTGATCTTGCTTTGGTGGGAAAGGTACAGGCCAAATGGGTTTGCTGGGCTTCGTTCCAGTCTGCGGAGTGTCCCAGCTCAGTGGGACTGATGCAGATATCGGTGGACGTTGGCTCTTCTCTGTAAGGCCTCGAGCTCAGCCTGGAGCAAAGTAACCCACTATGTGTCGGGGAGGGTGCGTTTCTGAGAGGCAGCAGTGAGGTGGCCAAGGACCTGCTGAGTCACAGTGGGTTCGTGGAGGTGTGGCCGGTGCCACCAGGGAACTTGAGATCTCAAGTGACTTAGAAAAGGCCAGAAGATAGAGGGAGGAACGTCTTTGCAATGAGGGTGTCTAGTTGAGGAGTTTCTCACTTGGTAGAAGAGCTGCTTTTAATTAAAAGGCAGTTTATTTATTTATTTTCTTGAACCGCAGAGAGCTGGTGGTTTGCTCGAGGGCAGGGGAGCCGCTGGCATCACAGCGATGCTGCTGGTCCATTTTTGCTGTTCTCACACCTCTGCCGTGACAGGGAGTGGGAATGTCTGACACGTGAGGATGGGGATGGACCTGGTCTTATTCTGGCCTCCATGTATTGTGGCATCAGTAAATTCTAGTTTTACCTAGTCGTAGGTGAGTCTCAGAAGGGATTTGGATTCTAATACCCAATACAAACCATTTCAAAGGTCGTGGGCACCTGGGTTTCAGTGCCTGGGTCGTAAAGAAACTTTCACTGTCTTAGTGGATGTATCTGTGACCTCTCTAGCCACATGCCCTGGAGGTCAGGGATCAGGAGTCACGAGCTTCAGGTGTGAAACTGTCCTCTTCTTACCTGGAGTTGGTATTGTGGTCCCCTTTAATGGTTAAGGAACAGGTTTTGCTAGGGGAAAGACATCTGCGGCCCAGAGAGGTGCATTTATCCCCTGCCTCTCGGTCTGCCCTGAGCACCCGAAACTCCCGGGGTGGTGAGCGAGGCCTCCAGTCATCACATTCCTATTCCCTGAGCCGGTGCTGCCGGGACAGCCCTACCTGCATGCTGCTGTCAGAGGCACGAGCTTGCCGGGGGCCCATCCTTGTGATAGCCCGGTGATTCAGGCTTCTCTTCCTGTCCCCACTTCCTCCGTGCTCAGGCTCCGGGGCTGCCGGGCTCTGCGGAGCCCCACCGACGAAGCCCTGTGAGGGCTGGGAGCCAACCTGGGTAAGCCATGCTGTGGGACAGATTCATTTTGGGCTTGTGATGAGATGGATTGAAATGTAATCGCCTTGATGTTGGGAAAGCGTGTTTTGCTGCCTGCTTGGACAGCTTCAAGGCTGGGGGGGGGGGGGGGGGGGGGGGGGGGGGGGGGGGGGGGGGCGCGCTTTGGAGATGTGGAAATAGAGCAGAGCACAGCCAGCCTTCGGAGTGCTGGGAGGTTATGGACGTGGGATCCGAGTGGTTGGAAAAAATCTGCCTTATCTGTCAGGGCTGTTTGGGGACGGGAGCGTCTCTCCTTGTGCAAGCCACAGGACAGCACCGCGCTGCTTCGCCTGCCTTCTGCTCGGTGATCCGTCTGGCGGATTTAACGGCGTTCGTGGCTGGAGGGGCCTGCTGGGGATGCGTGCCAGGGCTGGCCGCGCTGCCTGCTGATGGGCTTTGGGCTCCTGTCGCACTTCCACGTGAGCGGAGGCTGCAGATAAAGGAGCTGGATTGATGGCGCAGGATTAGCTTGGCCGGGTTTTCTCGGCTGAACGAGGTGGTCGTGTGAAAAACATGCTGGGTTTCAGCCGCAGGCTCTGCGCTGGGGTGGGGGCCCTGGCCATTTGGGGCAGGGGGGGATCGTGCTGGCTCTCGCTGCTGGGACCTGCTGCTCTGGGGTGCTGGGAGAACCAGCCGGGAGAGGGCAGCCCCAGCCTCCGCCCCGCGTGAGCCCCGGGCACAGGGTATTAGCACACGAGCCCAGGGCTGTGTTTCTCCTGGCCGGCTTGCCAGCTTTTCCCTCCAGTCCCTGACCGCTTCCTCCCTTCCCGCAGGTATGAGTGACCAGGCTTGCCCCCAGCCCTGAGCAGCCGGAGCCACCGGGAGCAGGGCCAGGATGCCGATCCCTCCTCCCCCGCCGCCGCCGCCGCCCGGCCCCCCGCCGCCTCCCACCTTCAGCCAGGTAGGGCTCTTCTCGCTGCCCGCTGACCTGGCCAGTTGTAGGCTGGGGAGGTGGCCTGTCTCCACGTGGTGCTACATGCCAGGGGCCCCTGTGTTGTCTCTGGACCTCCTCAAATCCAGCCTATGAGAGCTTCAGGCAGTCCATGGGCCGTGCCTCGGTTTCCCTTGCAGCAGAGTCTGTACGTGGAAGGGGCTGCCCGTGGATTTTCTTTGCATTCGTGTTTTCTGCTCCACGATGGCTGGTGGGGGAGAGTGGGCGACCTTGCGTGTGGCTGTGACTGAGCTGCACCTTGGGTCTAGGTGGAACGGGGTCTCTCCCTCACCTATAGAACAGCAGCCTAACCTTTGGGCAGCCCCGTTGCTCCGTCTGGAGGAGAGCTGGCTGCTGGCAGGGGTGAGGGTGCCTCTGGGCTCAGCCAAGGAAAAAGGGAAGGAAGGTGGAGTTGGGCTGTGCCTGCTCTGTGGATCGGGGTGTCCGCGAGCGCAGGCGAGGTGCTGAGCTGCTTCTTGTCTCCAGGCGAACACAGAGCTGCCGAAACTGAGCCGAGAGGAGCAGCGGGGCCGCGGGGCCCTCCTGCAGGACATCTGTAAAGGGACCAAGCTAAAGAAAGTGACACAGATCAATGACCGGAGCGCACCGATCCTAGAGAGTGAGTACCTGCCTGGCCTGGCCCCGGGAGGCGCTCGGCCCCGCGCTGGGTGCTGCTGTGCCCTTCAGGGTGGCTTCTGGGCTCTCATCCGTCTGCTTTCCGGCGGCTCCTCGTTGGAGGAGCTGATAATACCAGGCTTAACCTCTCTGCCTCTCTTCTTTCAGAGCCCAAGGGCAGCGGTGGCAGCAGCTACAGCTGTAGCTCAGCTGCAATCCAGCCGAAGGGTGGTCTCTTTCAGGGCGGCGTGCCCAAGCTCAGACCCGTGGGAGTGAAGGACAGCTCAGGTAATGACCACCCGTCTGTGGTTGGCGCGGGGGTTCCCTGGGGAGGTCCCTGAGCAGGAGGGGGTTGAGGCTCTTGCCGTGTTTACCTGGGGATTTCAGCCGGTTAGAGGCAGGGACCCCAAATCAACACCCCACGCGTGAGCGCAGGCAAGCTGCGCTCTCTCCACGCCACAGTGTCTCACGACACAAACCTTGGAGGGCCCAGGAGCCGCGTGTGTTGCTGAACGTTTCTCTCTGCTATTTTCTGTGGCAACCTGCCTTCCAGCAAGCCAGAGAGCGAATAGCAGTGGTGAGAGAGGAGCCGTGTGTGGCTGAGCGCGGTGCCAGCTCCCTGCCTGTGCCAGACAGCGTTCCCCGCGGCCTGGCCCTCCTCGGCCGAGCGGGCAGGCTGCCCCGCGCTCTGCGCAGGCTCGGGGACGGAGCACGTCGCTCTCGCTGACACCCGGCCCGTGCCCTGCCTGCCCAGTCACTCTGCTTTCCTTCCCCGCAGACAGCTCCGGTAAGCAAACCCTGCAAGTCCCCAGCTCCAGAGCAGCCGCCCCCAGGCCTCCGGTGCCGGCCAGCAACAGCCGACCTCAAGATGATGCTGAGAACAGCCGAGCCTCTCCCCCGGAGCTGCCGCGCACGCAGAGGCCATCCCTGCCGGATCTCTCCCGGCCCAACACCGCTGGCAGCACCGGCATGAAGCACAGCTCATCCGCCCCGCCGCCCCCGCCGCCGGGCCGCCGCGCCGCCGCGCCTCCCGCCCCTCCTCCGGCGCACGGCACCAAGGTCTCTTCCTACAACCGGGAGAAGCCCCTGCCGCCCACCCCGGGACAGCGACTGCCCGTGAGCAGGGACGGACCCCCAGCCCCGCCACCCATCAAGCCCCCTCCCTCCCCAGTCAGTATCCGAACGGGGTCGGGGGCTCAGGGCCAGTCTCTCGCCCCCCCGCCGCCCCCTTATCGACAACCCCCCGGTGTCCCCAACGGCCCTTCCAGCCCCATCAACGAGTCCGCCCCGGAGCTGCCGCAGAGACACAACTCCTTGCACAGGAAGACTCCGGGCCCTTTGCGGGGTCTTGCGCCGCCACCGCCCGCTTCAGCCTCCCCGTCTCTCCAGAGCAGTCGCCCCCCTCCGCCGGCCAGAGACCCCCCCAGCCGGGGAGCAGGTAAGAACCGTTCTGTCCTTCGTGCCCGGGAGCTGCCGTGGTGGGTCAGGCTGCAGCTGCCTGAACCGCGAGGTGTTTGGTGGCTGGTAGGAGATGTCGGGGGAAGGGGCCGCTCCAGGACGTGGCAGTTGCTGTAGGGGTTGAGCCAGGGGCAGCAGCTGGACTGTCACCTTCAATCCATGTCCCTGGTCCTGTCCTCTGATTATCCAGCTCCTTTCAGGCCTGATGTTGGCGGTGGGTTGTGGCTGGCCAGCTCCTGCCTGTGAGGTTGATGTGTCCTCGTGGGGTGGGAGGAGAGAACATGGTGGAGCCAGAGCTGTATACGCTGCAGCTGCTCCCTTGAGCTTCATAAATGTCACCGGGGCGGTGACAAAACTCCGTGGCAGAGCAGGGAGAAGCCTTTCCCTCAGCAGTGCAGCCGGACACCCTCACTCAGCCCCCGGGAACTGTCCTGCCCTTCTCGGGGCTGGTTTTGGCGCTGCGTGGTTCCGAGCGCGTGGCGATGAAGGCTCTGTCGCCGCTGGTGCAGGGGTTTTGGTGTGGGGCACCCGTAGAAGGGGTGGTTGGGTGAAGACGGCTTGCTGCTCCCCCCCCGTGCATGCAGAGCCAGGTGCGAGCGTGTCCCTGCTGCCGGGACCGGCGACGGCTTCGCCCCGGTGCCCCCCCCCCCCCCCCGTCCGCTCCTGGGCTCCACGTCCAGACCGCAGCTCCCGCCTGGTCCCCTGCCAAGCCGCTCTGTCCTTCTGGCCCTGCCAGAATCCCTCCTTTGAGTTACGGCTGCGGATCTGCTCTGTTAGTCTGTGTGTAATTAGCCTAATGAGGAGCGTGAACTGCCACTGTGCATCCCTGGGAGGCTGGGCAGGCGCACGAGGTGGGTCGGAGGGGCCATGGGTCCTGTCTCCGCCTCGGTAGCAGTGTGAACGTGGCTTCCTAGCCCTGGCAGGCAACATCTTGCGGAGCCGCTGCCCTCAAACCCTCGTGTGTGCAGGCTCGGAGCTGCTCCTTGCATCCCTTCTCGTGCAGAGGGTGACCTGGGTCCAGCCACGCACCGGGAGTGTGCTGGGACTGGAGCAGCCCCGCTGGGGATGGGTGGTGAGCTGTCGGGGAGCGGGCTGGCCGGTCCCCTCGGCTGCAGCTGACAGGAGGAATGCAGATGTCAGGAGCGAGCAGGAAATCTCCTCTGGGCACACGGAGGAGCATCCCTGGGCCGGCTGCGCTGGCCGCTGGCACGATTTGGCTTGGCAGCTGGCCTGGAAAGCTACCTCGGATGTCCTTGGCCCTGCTGCCGGAGGGAGGGTTTGCCCTGGGGATGCTGCGCCCTGGCAGGCTGCGGTGGGCCGCGTCGGCGCTGACCCAGCTTCTCCTTGCAGCCCCGCCACCCCCGCCGCCGATGCTGCGAAACGGGGGGCGTGATGCCCCCCCACCCCCGCCCCCCTACAGACTGCACGGCTCCGCCGAGCCCCCCAGCCGAGGGAAACCGCCGCCGCCGCCCACGAGGACGCCGGCCGGGCCGCCGCCACCACCTCCGCCGGTGCGGAACGGGCACCGGGACTCCATCGCCACCGTCAGAGCGTTCCTGGGTGAGTGGGGACCCCCACTCGCTGCTGCTCTGCTTGGGGGGGGGGGGCTGGAGCTGGGGGGGGCCCCGGCACGGAGCTGAGCCCTTTGGCTTTAGCCATTCTCATCCCGGAGCCACCCTCCCTGACCTGGCTGGTTTTTCCCCCGTCTCTGCAGATGATTTTGAATCCAAATACTCCTTTCATCCTGTCGAAGACTTCCCAGCCCCAGAAGAATATAAATACTTCCAGAGAATCTACCCCAGCAAAACAAACAGAGGTGAGGCGGGAGGTGTCCCGCACGGCCTGGCTCCCCTCTCAAGGCTGGCAGGAGGTGACAGCAGTGTTTGTCCCCCGATCCTGATCCAAATCCTCTGTGCAGCAGCCTGCTCCCTGGGGTGCTGAGCCCCAAAGGCAGCCTGCTGCGCTCGGCAGGGGGGCGGTCCTGAGGATTTGGGCTGTGCCATGTCCCGTCCCACCCATCCCCTCTTTTTGCCTGCTGAGCCTGTGCAGGGAAACGCCGCAGCGCTCGTTCCCGCCTGCGCTAAGGGCCTGTGGTGCTGGGGCAGGTCCAAAAGCACCCCAGCAGCCGGCCCCATGGCTGAAACTGTTTTTTGGTAGGGGCTGGGGGGGGGGTAAAGAGCCCCTGTGTGTCCCGGAATGGGACCAACTACGGGGCCCTGAGCGGTGGCACTCGGACCCAGCGCTGCCGGCGCAGCACAAAGTGCCCTTGCTGCGCCGCCGCTGCGCGTCAGCCCTGCGGATCCCGGAGGAGACTCCGGGGAGAATGGGATGCTCGTTTATTTTTAGAGCGATGAATCTTTAATGTGGATTTGAAAAGCCCTGAGCTTTCCATGCGTGCTGCAGCGGCTGGTTCGAGTCGCAAATCCCAGGCTCCAGATCTCTGCGGGGAGTGTGTGTGTGTGTGTGGGGGGGGGGGGTGTCCAGATGGCGCGGGGGTGTGGAGGAGGGAAGGCAGACGTGCCGGATCCAGCTCTGCGGAGCACCGGGGCGGTGATCCTCTGAACTGGTGCTGGTGGCCGGGCAGCGGCCACTCCGGTGCCCTGCCAACCGTCCCTCCACCCCGGTTCTGGTTTCAACGAGGTTTCTTGTCTTTCAGCTACACGCGGGGCTCCCCCTCTGCCCCCCATCCCCAGGTGAAAGCGGGCTGCCCAGGCGGATTGTTCCTGAGCAGAGACACGGGACCTCCTTCCCCTTCCTCAGACGGGCCCTCCCCGCCTCCTTGCCCCCCAGGATCCTGCATGAGAATCTCCCAGCGTCTTTGGTTTTCCCAGCTGCGCCAGGACGAGCGGATACCCCCACCTCGCTCTCTCCTCCAACCCACCCCCATCTATGCAGCTCCCCCGGGACGTGGGGACCTCGCTGGCAAGCCCGGATGGGTCCTCTCCTCCTCGCAGAGCCCGGGGCGGGCCGGGACCCCGCGTCCAGCCGCAGCCTGGGAGCTGGGCACGAGGATTTTGGGGCAGAGGCCGAGGTGTGCGGCTGTTGGGACCAGAATTGGCCCCAGTGCCCGAGGCTGGGACCAGAGGTGGCTCCAGTGCCCGAATCCTCGGGGCTGGCGGGGCAGAGCGAGGGCTTAGAGAGGAGCTGGGGGAGGGCGGGAGACGGACACGCTGCGTGATCACGAGGGGAACCGGGACAGGCCACCGTGGAGCCTCGTTACCCCGGCACAGCTGATTGCTTTTTTTGCACAGGAGCCAGTGGAGGAGCTGATGGGGGGGTGGGAGGGGTGAGTGGGACCATCCAGGGAACCCCCGACGGCGCTGGGGACTGGGGGGACACACACACACAGGACATGTCCCCGATGCCACCCGCCGCAGCCGCCGGCCTTTCACACCGCTGGGTCTTAATGGGGCGAGGAGGCGCCCGGCAGTGGCAGCCCGGCTTTTAATGCTAAATTACCAAACTAGAGCATTTTAACAGGAAGACACTAATTGTCCGTGGAGGAAGCCGGGGGTGCCGTTACCGTGGGGGCGGGGGGGTGTTGTTCTGTTTCTTATGTAGCCGGGGTGGGGGGGGACCTGGGGCCACAGCCCCCGTGCCGGGGGGGCTCCGGCTGACGTTTTGCCTTACACACTACCCTGTCCAACTGTTGGTACCGGGCTGGTTTCTCTGTATTTACTCGCAGTACTGGGGGGGGGGGGGCTGGACATTAACTGTAGTTACTGATCTATTTTGTACGTTGTAAAAAGCTTGTACCATAGGAGGAAGGTGGGCTCACTGCGGGTGTACTAAACCTCCCCTCTAAACCTCCCCTCTAACTCTTTTGGGGTTTGTTTTGGGTTGGTTTTTTGTTGTTTGTTTGGTTTGGTTTGTTGTTTTTTTTTTGGTGTTTTTTTTTTTTTTTTTACAAAGTTGGAACTTTTTCCCTGTGTAGCTGGAGCGAGGAAGCGCAGGGCAGGGAAGGGGGTTCTCTGCAGGATGAACCCCCCCTTCCCGAGCCCCGAAGTTTTGGTTTAAATGTTAAAAAAAAGGTTCTCCCCGAATAGTTGGCTGCCCCTCCCGGGGGAGCGAGGGGCTGTTTTAAGAGGGAACAGAATTAAAAACTGAAAAAGCTTGAAATCGCATTTAAATAAAAGTAATAAAGATACCTGACTCCAAGGGTGCTGTTTGGGAGGGGTGGGGGTGGCTGTAGGGGGCCCCAGGGACCCCTCCCCTCTGGTGGGGGGGTGGTACCCCCAGGGCGGGGGGCCAGGGCGCTCTGCCTGCGGCGAGGCTGGTACCGGGAGCGCTGGGGTGGCGGGGGCAGTGGGGGCGCAGCGGCAGACTACACCTCCCGGCATGCAACGCTCCTCCCGGCAGGTCCCGCGCGCTCCCCGCCCATTGGCTGCCGGGCGGCGTCTTTCCCGCCCTCCGGGGCCCCGGCGCTTGGCGCGGGGCTTTGCGATTGGCGGCGGCGGCGCAGCCAATGGGGCGGAGGGGGCGGGGCCGGCTCGGCCCGGTGGCGGGAAGTGGGGAGCTGGGGCTGAGTTGGCGCGAGAAGGTCGGTGGCGGCGGGGGGACAGGGGGTTTTAGGGAGCGGAGATGGGGGGCAGGGGGTTCTGGAGGGGGGGTTATAGGGAGCGGGGGTATAGCAGAGCTGGGGGGGGCAGAGCGGGCCGGTCTAGGGTCGGAGGGGAGTGCAGGGGCGCCCGGGAGCCGCGGGGCTTGGGGGAACGGGGGGGGTGTCGGGTCTCTCCCCCCAGCTGACCGGTGTCCCCCCTCCCTCCGCAGCCCCCCGCCATGGCCAGCAGCAGCCCGCAGCGCCAGCCCACCCTCGGCTTTCCCCGGAGGAGGAGCGCCCGCCGCCTCGCCGCCCCCCCGGCCAAGAGCGTCCCCGACCCCCCCTCCCCGCCGCTCTCCCCTCGCCCCGGCCCCGCAGAGCCCCCGGCCCGGCCCGCAGCGCTGCCTCTGAGCCCTCGCAAGCGCCTGGGTGAGCCCCCCTCCCCTGGGACCCCCTGGGAAATCTGGGGGGGAGGCGACAGCCATGTCCCGGGGCAGCGGGCAGACCCAGCTCTGTTTGTGGCTTCCCCCTGTTTTGGGAGGAAAAACCCCTCCTGGGGGGCTGAAGCGTGAAGCCTCCCCCCGGGGAGAGTGACGCCGTGTCACGAACGGCCTGTTGCTCTCACACAAGGCGCAGGATTGGGTCCCCCGCGCTCGCCCCCCGCCCCCCCCCCCCCCTTCGCTGACCCTTCCCCTCCGCAGGTGACGACAACCTCTGCAACATCCCCCGCGCCCTGCCCTGCTCCCCGGCCAAGCGCAGCAAGGAGAACCAGGGGTGCCGCTTGCTTTTTGGGGACCCCCCGGCCTCCCCCGAGAAGCCCAGCAGCCCGGGGCCGTCCCCTCCGGGGCGCGGGGGGCAGGAAACCCCTCGGAGCTCGGGGCTCGATGGGCAGCTGGCCCGCGCCCGGCTCTTCAGGCAGGAAGGTGAGTGTGGTTTGGGAGGGGGACGGGGTCCCGCCGGCGCTGCGGCCCCCCCCCTGAGCCCTCTCCCTCCTGGGCGCAGGCACCCGCTATCAGCAGGCGAAGCGGGTGCTGCACGCGGCCGTGCCCGACCGCCTCCACGCCAGGGAGAGGGAGACGGGCATCATCCGGCAATTCCTGCGGGAACACGTCTGCGGGCGCCGGCCCGGCGGCCTCTACATCTCCGGACCCCCCGGGACAGGGAAAACGGCCACTCTGAGCCGCATCCTGCTCGACTGCAAGGTGCGCCGCGGCGGGGGGGTCCTGTTTTGGGGGGGGGGGGGTGCGGGTGGAACAGATCGGTGGGGAAAGATGGAGGGACTGGCAGGAGGAGCAAGAGCTGAGCGTGGTGGGTTGCAGGGGGCGGCAGTGGGTGGCCGGGGGTGTAACATTCCCATTCCTGGCAGGATGAGCTCGCCGGGAGCAAAACCATCGTCCTGAACTGCATGGCGCTGAGCAGCGCGCAGGGCGTCTTCCCCGCCGTGGCGCAGGAGCTGGGCCTGCCCGCAGCCGCCGGCCGGGACGGAGTGCGGAGGCTGGAGAAGCAGCTGACGGCCTGGGGGCCCATGGTGTGAGTTCCCAATCCTGGGGTGGGGGTCCCCCCCTGCACCCCCCGAGTGTGGCCAGCCAGGAGAGGCGGCCCCGGCAGCGGCTCTCCCTGCTCAGGGGGCTGTGGGGGTGGTGGGCAGAGCGGTGGCTGACCCAGCCATCCCCCCTTTCCCCCGTTCCACCAGTCTGCTGGTGCTGGATGAACTGGACCAGCTGGAGAGCAAAGGCCAGGACGTGCTCTACACCCTCTTCGAGTGGCCCCGGCTGCCCCACTCCAGGCTCGTCCTCGTGGGTGAGTGCGCAGCAGTGTGGCACCACCCGCCCTGGGGACCCTCCCTATTTTGGGAGGCTGATGGGGGGGGGGGGTTTGCCTTTGCACCCCTCTCCTGCCCTCTTGGGGGCACAGGCCTCACCCCGCTGTGCCCCCAGGTTTGGCCAACGCACTCGACCTGCTGGACCGCGGCCTGGCCCGGCTCGGTGCCCGCCCGGCCGGCAGCCCCCGGCTCCTGCACTTCCCACCCTACACCCGGGAGCAGCTCACCGCCATCCTGCAGGAGCGGCTGGGGCAGGTGGGGACACGGAGGGGGGACACGCTGGGAAGGGAGGGGGACAGCACACGGTGGGGGTGGTGGGCTCTGACAGCGCGCGGTGCCTCGGCAGGTGGCTGGTGACCCCGTCCTGGACGCCGCTGCGCTCCAGTTCTGCGCCCGCAAGGTCTCCGCAGTCTCTGGTGATGCTCGTAAGGCCCTGGATGTCTGCAGGTCAGCGCCTGCCCCAAAACCCGGTGGTGCCGCAGCCAAGAGCGGCCCCCGCGAGCCCTGCCTGGTGCCGGGGGGTGCCCGTGCCGGGGGGTGCCCGTGCCGGGCTGCCCGCTCTGCCCGGCGCTCAGGGCTGTCTCTCCCCAGGCGCGCCGTGGAGGTGGTGGAGCTGGAGGTGCGGAGCCAGACCCTGCTCAAGCCGCTGCCCGGCGGTGAGTAGCTGCTGGCGGCCGCCGTGCCGGAGCCAAACCCTGCGGCGGGGGGTCACAGGGACCTCCGGGCCGGCCTCAATGAGGGGGGGGGTCCAGGGTCCTTTTCAGGGGTACACGCTCTGCGCTGCCACCCGCTCCCCTTTCTCATCTCCTTGAGGTCCCCTTCAGCCCTGTCTGTCCCACAGGTGACTCCCCGGCGTCCCCTGTCCCCAAGCGCGTGGGGCTCCTGCACGTCTCCCGTGTGATCTCGGAGGTGTTTGGGGACCGGCTGGCGGCGGGTGCCGCGGGGGCCCGAGACGCCTTCCCGCTGCAGCAGAAGGTGCTGCTCTGCTCCCTGCTGCTGCTCGCCCGGCGCCTGCGCACCCGGGAGGTGACGCTGGGGAAGGTGAGTGGCGCCGGGACCCCCTCGGGGCTGGATTTGGGGAGCGGGTGGGTGTCCTTGGGGTCTCCCTTGGGTGCGGTGCCACGGTGTTAATGCCTGCCCTGCCTTCCCCAGCTCCACGACGCCTACAGCCAGGTCTGCCGCCAGCAGCATCTCCCCGCCGTCGACCAGGCTGAGTGTCTGTCCCTTGTCACCCTCCTGGAGTCCCGCGGTGTCCTGGAGCTGAAGAAGGGCAAGGAGGCCCGGCTGGCCAAGGTACGGTGGGGTCTGGCAGCAGGGCGGGGGGTCTGGCAGCAGGGCGGGGGGTCTGGCAGCGGGGCGGGGGGTCTGGCAGCGGGGTGCTGAGCGGCTCTCGTCTCCCCCAGGTCTCCCTGAAGATGGAGGAGGCGGCGGTGGAGCACGCGCTGCAGGACACGGCTCTGGTGGGCAGCATCCTGGCCCAGGGGCTGCACTAGCCCCCCGCTCGCCCCCCAGCAGCCCCCTCCCCGTGGCCCCTGCGGGTGGATGCTGCCCCGGGTGGGATTTCAGTGCACGCGCGGTTTGGCCGGGCCGGGAGCAGGGAAAGGGCCTCAGCCATTGTTTGTTGAGTCGTACCCTGCGGCCCTTGGTCTCAGGTGGTTTTATTAATATTATTGTTGTTGTTATTATTTTTGTGTGGCTGGAGCTGAGGCGGGAGGCTGGCACTCGCCCCAGCCCCTTTGCAGCAATGACTGTGGACAGTGGGTGCTCCTGGCCCCGCTCCCACCCCAGCAGAGGGGGCCCGGTGCTGTTCCCTGCTCCGAGCCACCGACGTGTTTGCTCCCGGCTTGTTCAGAGCTGTCCGGGCCCCCCCGGGCCCCCCCAAACCCTGCTCATGGTCCCGGTGCTGGCGGCGGCAGACGGGGTGCACCGTGCGTTTGGCTTCAGGCTGTGCCCCGGCTGGAGGGTGGGGGGGACAGGGGGCCCCCCCCTCTATCTCCTGGTTTTAATAAAGTCGTTCTGGTTCAGTGCTGGCTCCTGCCTCTGCCTGCTCCCCCCGCCCTGCAGCCCCATTCCCGGCCTGGCCCTGTCCCCCCCAGCCTTTCTCCTCCCAAGCTACAGCCCCCTCCAGCTCCCCCCCCCCGCCCACCTCCTGGCCCCGGCTCCTCTGCTTGTGTTAAATAATAGACGCTTTGACCTAATTTTGCAGCTTCCCAGGCTGGGGGGGTGTGGGGGCCCCAGGCAGGGGGGAGTGGGGAAGGACTGGGGCTCTGACCGTGCCCTGCGTCCTGCCATCCCCCCCAGCACCTCTGGGCCAGGACTGGGTGCTGGGTGTGGGGACAGGACAGGGTGCCTGGGCCCCCCACTGTGCCTCAGTTTCCCCTGTCCCTGGGGTGTGGCCCCGGTGTGTGCCAGCCCCATCCTGGCCTTGGCTCCAGGGCTTGCGGGGTCCGCAGGGGGTGCAGGACACGGGGCCGTGGGCTGTGTCCTTGCCCAGGGCACCCAGTGCCAAAGCAGAGCCTGGTGAGGTGGCTGGATGCCACCGTTGAGCTGGGCATCCTGGTGTAGCCCCCACCTTCCCCCCCCCGCCCCCGTTTTGGCACTCTGCCTGTCCCTGCTGTGCCACGGGCCACCTCTGGGACAGGGCAGGCCCCGGCCATTCACCAGGGAGAGCTGTGGGGAAACTGAGGCAGGGCCGGGGGTGGCTGGTGGCCCCAGCCGGGCCCCGAGCACGGCTCAGCCGGTTGCTATTTATAGCCGGGGCTGCCATGTGTTGGATGTGTGCGGCGGCACGGGGGGGACAGCGGGCTCAAGCCAGGCTGTGCCTGCTCAGCTCCACACCCCTGCACCCCTCACCATGCCGGGGGGCTGAGGGGGACCCTGGCCCTGTCCCCCACTGCGCCAAGTGGCGACCAGGGCCCTGCCACCCATCACCGGGCCATGGGGCTGAACAGGCCCTGGCATCGCTATGCCATGGGCAGAGTGTGGGGAAGGGGGGGGGGGTGTCCCCTGCTCCCCCCTGGCCACGGCGGCCGCATCCTGCCCTGCGCCAGCCCTGCGGCCGTGACGCAGCCCCACAGCGCGAAGCCACCGCACACGGTGACTGGAAGGAAGCGGCTGGCAGCGTGTGTGACCGCAGTGACGTGGCGGTGACGCAGGTGGGCACCGCGGTGCCCCTGCTCCCCACGTCTGTGTGTCTGTCTGTGTCCCCGCCCCGCCGCAATGCTCTGGCCCCCCTCTGTGCCCACCGTGGTGCTGGGTGAGGTGGCGGCACAGGGAGAGGGTGACACCCCCACATCTGCACCAGACTGGCCACGCTGGGCATCCCGCGGTGAGGCTGGAGGGTCCCCGGTGCTGGCACTGTCCCCAGGGTGGCCTGACCGTGTGGGTGGGGACAGGGACAGGGGGGTGACACTGAGGACGTGGCCCTGAGGTGCGGGAACGCGCATCCCCTCGCCGTGCCAGCCCGCCGGGGTGCCCGCGGCCGCGCCGGCGGCCCTGGCTCCGATCTCTGCCGCAGTGGATGAAAAATCGATAGCGCAGCCGGATCCAGGCGCGCGCGGGTGCCGGAGCTCCCGCTGGAGCCGTTTGTCACCGTGCGGTGGAGCGGCGCGGCTCGGGGACACCGCCACTGCCCCCGGGACACCCCGGCCCCACGCCGCAGCTGGCAGCCGCAGCGGCAGCAGCAACGGGGAGGCCGAGGGGCCGCCAGGGCCCCGTCCCCCCGCTCCGGCACACGTGTGCCCACGTCCCCTTGCTCCTGCACACACGTGTGGTGCCCACAGGGCTGGGCAGTGCCAGTGGCGCCGTGGGCAGCCCCCGGCCTGTGTGTCCGGCTGCGCAACTGCCCGCCTGTGCGTGGTGGGGGCCCGGTGTCCCCTCGGTGGTGTCCCCGGTGCCCCCGCTGCCTGCCTGTCCTCCCTTGCCCTCTCCTTACATAAGCGGCCACGTGGCGGGCACGGCCCCCTCCTGCCGTGCCGTCACCGCCGGCACCCAGATTCCATCTGACAGCCCCTTTCCGCTCGGCTGCGCTCCTGCCGGGCACGGGGGCCGGGGGTGCCGGGCAGGACCCCACGCGACCCCACCACGCTGGCACCGGGCCCCGCACCGGCTGCAGGGCCTCACCGGGACGGGGGGAACACCGGGGACGCAGCCCTGCCCTGATGGCACCCCCCGTCCACACCCTGGTACCCTGCTGTACCCGCCTGGGCCCTGCCGGACCTCGGCAACCCGACGCCGCGGCACGGGCCGGTGCTGGGCACTGGGGACAGGCAGGATCTGGCCAGTGGTGAGTTCGGCCCCGTGGCGGGGCGATTGAGGCTCCCCAGTTGCCCAGCGGCCGCCCTGGTGGGCCGCGGAGGGGGCGGCGGGCTGGCCGCCGCGCACATCTGGGAGTGATTTGGCACATTCCTCTTGGCTGAGCACATGCCGGCGGCTGGGCCTCGCCGCGGCCGGCAGCCCCGGTGTGCCGGGGAGGGGGCCGGTGGCCGCGCTGTGCCGGGGGTGCCCAGGACTCGCTGCCTGTGCCTGGGCTGTCCCACCTCACTCTGCTGAGCACGTCAGGGAAACTGAGGCACGGGAGCACTGCTCAGGGCAGCTGGAGGGGCACCACGCCCTCCTCAGGTGGGCACCACGGGGTCTGACAGGCACCCAGGGAGCAGCGGGACCCCTGTGGGGTCTGTGCTGAGGCTGCCCAGACTCCTCGCACGTGTGTCTTCCCATGGTAGCTCCCCCCACCCCGCTGCCCTCCAGCCCTTGTGCCATCGGAGCTGGGCTGTGCCAGTGGGTGCAGGGCTCCTGGGTGCTGCTACAGGCACCCCCCCCGCGCACTGGCCAGCGGCAGGGCCTGGCTCTGCTCCTGCCTCAGTTTCCCCCCACAGCGAGTGAGGAGTGGCAGAGCTGGGTGTCTGCTCACCCTGGCTCTGGGTAACCCCGGGGGCTTTGCTGGGAGGGGGGTGGGGGAGGAGTGGGGCGGGGGGTGTGGGGGGGTAGGCCCTTTCCTTTGCCCCAATCCAACCCTTGGGGCATGGGGGCTCCTGCCCTGCTATCCCCACACCCCAATTCTCCTTTTCCTGCCCTTTTTCACAGCAACGTTGCCCCCCGGGGGTGGGGACACAGACACGCACAATATCCCCCGGGGGGGGAAGGGGGGGGGTATCCCCGCCATATTCCCCTCGGCTTCACGCGTGTGTATGTGGGGGGGGAACCTCCTCGGAGGGTTGCGGGGAGGAAGGTGGGGGGGGTAAAGGAGGGGCTGCGCGGCCCCTTTAAGAGCCTCCTCCCCACCACCACCCCTCCCCTTCTCCCCGCGGCGCGCGCACCCACTTTCTCCCCTTCCGCCTTCTGGAGACTTCAAAGAGTTACAATGTAGCGCCGGCCTCGCCCCGCCCCTCCGGCGGCGCCCCATTGGCGGGCGGGGCGGGGCGTGGGCGGGGAGAGGGGCGGGGCGAGAGGCGGGGCGTCCTCCCGCGCTGCCCCCGCCCGCCGCCGCCGCCGCCGCCGCCGCCCCGCCCGGCCCAGCCCCGGGTAAAGTTTCCCCGCGAGCACATGACTCGCAATGGCCGCGGCCGCCGCTCGTTAAACCTCCCCCTCCCCCCCCACCTCGTTACCCTCCCCTACCCCCCCCTTTTCCCCCCCCACCCCCCTCCTCCATCCTTTAGCCCGGGTCGCCCCGGTGCCGCCGCCATGCGCCCGCCCCCGGGAGCTTCCCGGTTTTAAGGATTTCGGTGGGGAGTCTCCGTGAGCAGGTAACGAGTGGGCCCGGTGGTGGGGAGGGGGAGGAGAGGCTCTTGTCGCGGCTCCGGTACCGCCTCCCCGGTGCTGGAAGCGGGGGGGTGGGGTGGGTGGGAATCCGTTGCGGCGGGACACGGTGCGTCGTGCCGGTGTCGGGGGGGGGGGTGGGGGGTGGGCCGGGGGGAGGTCGCCGCGTTCACGGGGGTGCTGGGACCGGGTGAGGGTCGTGGGTGCTGTCCCGCCATGCACCGGGGACACCCCCACCTCCTCCCCACCCCCGTCTCGGTGGATGGAGGTGGTGGGGTGTCCCCTTTTGGGGGGGGTCCTGCCCCGGGAGGTCCCAGGGCGGTGGGTTCCCCCCTCCACCCCAATCCCCCGGAGGCGGTGCTGGGGATCCCCCTCCGGTAACGGGGGGATCCCCGTCGCTGCGTCCCCGTGGTGGGGTCCCCGCCTGGCAGAGGCCGCCGTGAGCCCCGGAGGGACAGTGCTGCCCCCCGCCCCGGTTCAGGACCGTGGCTTTGCCCCCCCTCCCGGTTTGGCGGTGCTGGCCGCCCCCCCGGCCCGGTTACCGGTGCTGGGTTCCCCCCTCCCAGTACCGGCTGGCTGGGGCGCTCCCGAGCGGCAGCGCTGGCTCCCTCCTCCGTCCCGGTCCCGGTGAGGGCTGAGGGACCCCCGCCGCTCCGGGGTGGGGGGGGGGAAACCGGGACACCACAGAGCGCAGAGCTGGGGGTGCCCCCGCGGGATCGTCCCCGCCCCCACCCTCCGGGGTCACCGGTACGCGCAGCCACGTTCCCCCCCCCCCTCCCCGCCCCGCTCCGCGGCGGGGGCGGGCGCGGCGGAGGGGGGGGGGGGGGGGGGCCGGGGCCGCTTCCCCCTTTTCGGGGTGCGGGGGGGGCCGGGGCGCAGACGGCGGGGCCCGGCGGGTGAGCGGGGCCGGGAGCGCGGGGGGCGGTGGGGGCCGGGGCCGGGGGGCGGGAGCGGCGTCTGCGCCGTTTCCTGGCCGGCGGGCGGAGGAAGCCATCGCTCTCCGCGGCTGACAGGGCGCTGGCGCGGCGGCGGGGCCGGGGGGGGGGCCGGGCGGGGGGCGCCGGCTGCTGCCACCCCCCCCCAGCCCGCAACACAGCCCCGGGGGTGGCCGAGCCCCGGGGGGACCCTGGCAGCGGCAGCCGAGGGGGGGGGGGGCACCGGGTGCTCCCCCGTGTTGAGGAGCAGGGGGGGGGAGGCCCACGGGGACGGGCAGCAGCATCCGGGAGTGTGTGTGTGTATGGGGGTGGTGGTTGTGAGGGCAGAGCCC